GTGACATAAATGATAGTGGAATTAGGCGCTTAAAAGATGGAGAAAGAGAATGTTTTCAAAGATCAAGCTGTGATGTGTTCATAATGACCACCCATACTACTCTTGGTGATCTTGATTTTATTCACCTCTGGCATGATAATAGTGGTGGAGGTTGGTACTTAAGGTAAGTATTTAAAAATAAACATTCATAAAAAAAAAATTTTTTTTCATTCTGTATGAAAATTTAATGTTGAATAAATGTTTTAAAATTTGACAGACTTCAAAGAACAGTTTTCTTTAATACCATCTTCTTAAACAAACTTAGCGTTTACAGGCTAAGATGATTTGAACTAACAGGTTGAAAAAATTTAATAGAAACCAATATTGAAGCCTCTTAAACAGTTTGTTTTTCAGAATTGTTTGAAAATGTTAAATTAGATTTTTAAAGGTGTAAAGCAGACAATGTTGTAACATATCACAAACATAACTTGTGTGCTCTGTCTTTTATTGAGATTCTATAACTAACAACTATAGCTATATAACATCTCTTCATAAAAAAAGTATTCAAATGGAATTGGCTTTCGGTTTGAGTAAGCATTAGAAGTAGTCTTGAGCAACAAGCAATTCAACACAAATTAAATTGCATGTTGCTCTGTTTTAAAAAAAGAAAAGCTTAACTACATATAACAAATGTAGAAAAAAGTTTTCTGTTTAAAAATTGATATTGGGTTAGTAATTTAAAATTAAACAGAAATGTTTTGTTATTATTTTTTTGATACCATTAATATTGATCCAATAGTTTTAAGGGCATTTTAAACTATAGTTCAGAGTTTATTCAAACAGGTTTTTGTGACAAGTATCTTTATTTATAGAAACATTATTATCATTGATCTTCAAACAGAAAAGCAGTTCCTTTTTATTGGCCATCGTTGGATTGCTGTTGATCGTGGCTTATGTACATTAGATTGTGTTATACCAGTAGCATCAGCTGAAGAAACTTCAAATTTTAGCTACATTTTTAAAACAAAAGCAGAAAATGATTTTTCTGATGCTCATTTATGGTTTTCAATATTTGCTCGTCCCCCTAAAAGTAACTTTACTAGGTCCCAAAGGTTGTCTGTTGCAGTTTCTTTGTTAATGACTTCTATGGTGGCAAGTAGTATGTTTTATGACAGTGTTCCACCTGCAAATCCATCTGTTGAAAATAAAATTGGTAGTTTTTCATTCACCTGGGCACAGGTTTGTTCAAAAAAAATTTTTTTTGAAATGTTTCAGTTACCCTTAAGTACTATCACATTGTTTTCCTTTCTTTATAAAAAATATAAAAGATTATTGTGACTACAGTATATCTTATTGTATTATGTATTATTATGTATTAGTTGTGACTACAGTATATTATTGTATTATGTATTAGTTGTAATTGCAGTATATTATTCATAAGACTTTTGAAGTTTAAAGCTACCACATCAAAATTTAAACTATTTTAAAAAGTTCAATGGTTGCACTTACCATTGAACAATGAATGTGTGTGATTGAACAATGAATGTGCGCGCAAAAGTAGTGCCAGATTTCAGTGCCAGATTTTATAATCTGGCACTATTTTTATTCAAAACTTTCAAACCCTTTTTAAGAACAGCTTCATGCATTAATTTAGTTTAGCATTCAAATTAGTTAAGAAAATTGTCATTAAAATAGTTATGATTTTTTGTTGAAAAAAGAAATTTATTTTAGCATTGGAGGAGGAGTTTTAAATTTGTATTAGTTTTTGATAATTTCACATTAGTTTAATGTTATTAGATTTATGTTATTTTTCCATCGGTTACATATGGTATTATGAAATATTATTATTTTTAAATTTATATATATTTCACTATGGACTCTGATGTTTTAAAAAAAAATTATGGATAAGTTGTGTTAATTTTATGTTGGGATTTATTTTTTAGTCTTATATAAAACTGTTGAAGAAATATTTTAGTTAACAGGCAGTTAAAAAGTGAGGCAGTTATCTGCCATTTAAAAAGTGAGTTAGTTACCTGACAGTTAAAAAGTGAGGCCAGTTAACATGTGAAACAGTTAACTGTCAGTTAAAAAATGAAGCAGTTAACTGCCATTTAAAGGGTGAGGTAGTTACCTGCAAGTTAAAAAGTGAGGTAGTTAACTGCCAAAGAAAAAGTTATTATACTGCTAAAAAAATTAAGATATTAATTTACCAGTTGAAGATAATGATGGAAAAGAAAAAACAAGGTTTCTATTTTAATTGTATTTTTTAAAAAATGATTACAACCAAAAATTTAATGGACTCCAAAAACAAACACAACACAAATAAAAATTAAAAGAAATGCTCCTCATGTAAATCTCTCATTTAACAAACTTTTTTTTCATTATAAACTTATCGATATATTTAACAAATTTATGTTGTATACTGATGGCTATTTACTGAAGTCTTTTTGTAAATATTTTTAATTAATAAATTTATGGTTGTCGTATACTGATGGCTGTTTACTGAAGTCTTTTTTGTAAATATTTTTAATTAATAAATTTATGGTTGTCATATACTGATGGCTATTTACTGAAGTCTTTTTTGTAAATATTTTTAATTTTTTATGTACATTTTTGTCTTCTGATATTTTTCTATAAAAATTTATATTATAAAAATATTCTTTTGAAAATATAAAATAAATATAATTGTATTATTTTTGAAAAATCTTCACTTTGTCTTATTATGACATTCAAAAAATGTATACACAAATATCTTTCCATGCTCAGTTATGCATACAGTATTATATAGTTATGAATAAAACATACAATTTTATTGAAGGAATTATGCTAAAATATCCTTCTGTGGAATCTTCAACACATAAATTGGGTTTGGGTAGATGCATAGGGTGTGAGCAGGTATGAAGAATGATTATTATAGCTAAAGTATTTATTGTTATTTTCATTTTTCTCTTCTTTCTCCAGAAAGTTGTAAGGATTGAAGTTAAAATTTTTCAAAAATAAAGTGTGAAAAATGTTATAGGAAAGTGCACACCAAAATATATAAATATTGCTTTGTTACTAATTTCTTTTCTAATTTTTTAAAATTTTCAAATGATTTCCCTTAAATGACTATTATTTCCCTAACAGCTTGTCAATATTTTTTGTAGTTCTGCATTTTTTATTGTTTTTATTTAGGTTTATATAGCCATAATTAGTTGTCTAGTAACTATACCTATTAATCTTATTCTTGTTGGGTTTTTTCGGTCAATAAAACCATTTGAAAATATTATAAAAGAAAATTCAAAAAAAGTCTTATATTACAATAAAGTACAAGAAGAATCATCTTTAAAGTTGATTGAAAAAAGTAAGTACTTTATTTCTTCATTTTTTATTAGTTCATTCATTTGTGGGCAAATAAAACAAATTGGTTCTAATGATTTACTTGAATAAAATATTTTTATGTTTATTGCAGAGTCAAATAAAGAAACAACTGCTGTTCTTATTAAAGAAAACAAGTCATCTTTAATAAAAATGAGAAAAGAGTTTAATCTACCACATTGGTGCTTGTACATAGCATGGTTTATATGCATTTGTAGTATATTTGCTTGTGGTTTTGTTGTTATTTTGTATGGAATGAGTTTTGGAAATAATAAATCTTTGAATTGGTTATCTAGTGTAACTATTGGCTTTGTATGCTATATTTTTTTTGATTTTTACTAAATTTTTTTTTTTTTTAATAATTTTACTTCACCTCCTCAAGGCCGAGAAGGCCACTACAGACGAGGAGGTTACTTATTTTGTGGCTATAACCCTCTCTCAACTCTATAACTCCGAAACGTGGAAAAATGAGTTGAGCGCGGTACTACCAGGGACGTGGTGGGGATTGAACTTGGAGCCACTCGTTTATGAAGCGAGCGCTCTACCACTACACCACTACCGCATGATTTTTAAAAAGTTTGAAATTTAAAAATAGCATGATTTAAAAAAAGTTATATCAATACTTGAGGTTCCATTTATTCTAAATTGAAGTATGAAATATTATCAAAACACTGATAATATTTTATATTTCATATATACTAAGTGTATATCTAACATGTTAATGATAAACATATACAATGTACAAATGAGCAGTGATATTTACGTACACGAGAACGAAAACGAGAACGAAAAAAAAAGCCTTTCGTTTACAAAAACGAAAACTAAAACGAAATTTATTTTAAGAACGAGAACAGAATAAAAACGATAATTTTAAATTTTTGAACGGAATAAAAACTGAATCAAAAATTATTTTAAAACGAAATATTTTCGTTCTAGATTTGAAACAAGTTGAATTATTTGATATATATAATTATTATATTACAATACATTATAATGATATATTATTCGAACTTAATTGAGTTTTATTCAATTAAGTTCGAATAAGTTTAGTTATGATATAGTTCGAATATATTTATTCGAATATATTTTTTCGAACTAAAAAAAATCAAACTGTAAGACCAACACAACTACGCTATGAGTTTGAGTAAACTTTTTGCTGGTAGGAAGAGGAATAGTTCAGTATGAAAATGGTTTAAATGCGATGCGTCATCCGACAAATCAGTATGTTTAGTTTTACTTGATAGTGAAAAAGTATGCAATACAAAGTTGTGTGGAAAGAACCCAACAAATCTTAAAGTTAGTTTATCTGTTAGAGGATATGTTTTCATTTTGAAACAAACGACTCATTTTTATCATTTTAGAGTAATTATTCAATAACGTATACGAACTTATTTATACATTAATTGATAAACAGATAGATAAATAAACATATAAATATACAAACAAAAAGTTATATAAATATGTTTATTTTTTTCTAGCTACATTTAGCAAGAAACCATAAGTCTGTACACGTTGAGCTGGAAGAGTCGGAATTAAAGAAATTAAGTGAAAAAAAGCAAACAGGGATAAAGAGAAAAGCAGTGGATGAAAATGAACCCACTCTTTTAGAATCGTCCTCAAATCAGAACCAGACCTTGATTCAATGCATTAATCGTAGGAATACCGCATGGCTTATTAATTCACACGAGCATAAAATTCGACTAAACTCTCTTATTCAAATGATAATTGCAACATGTAATCCAGTGACATTGGTGGATAATGCGAGTTTTAGAAAGTTAGTTAATACCTTGGATTATAAATTTTCATTGCCTGCTTCTGCCAAAATTACTAGCCTACTTAATGAAGAATTTACTGTTTTAACGAGAAAACTTCGTGACTTCATATCTGAAGGCAGGCGCTTCACAATATGCCTTGATGGCTGGACTAAAAAAGGTCTTACTGCGTCCTTTTTAGGAATTTCGGTTTGTTTTTTTCACTTCAAATCCGAAAAACCAATACATGCTCTGCTTAATTTGTATCTTGTGAAACATCCACATACAGGTGAACAAATTGCTAATTGTTTTGAAAAATGCCTAAAATATTGGAATATTTCCAGAGAAAAAATATTGCTTGTTATTTCGGACAATGGAGCAAACATGGTCAAAGGCATAAAGTTGTTGAGAATGAAAGCTCAAGCTGAACGTGATATACAACGTGATATACAACGTGATATACAACGAACGTGATATTGAATTAGAAAGTGAGGTTAATGAAGAGCAGATAACAGATCTGGAAAACGATGAGAATATGACAAATAGTGAAGAGTGGGAACATGTTGACTAGATAGTTGATGTAATAGAAAACGTAGCATTTAGAAGATTGGGATGCATTGCACATGTTATACAGCTAGTTGTAAAACTTGCATATGATGGTAAATATCATGGCTTACTTTTGAAGGTACGTGGATTAGTGGGAAAAGTTCGCAAATCTTCTGTTGCATTGGAAAAAATTATCAACAAATGTAGTAAGACTGTGATCAGCGACTGTTCTACAAGATGGAACAGCACTTACTTTATGGTTTGGAGATTTCTGGAAATAAAGACATCTATCAACGAAGTGCTTGGAGACCTTAACATTGATTCACTTGCCAATAGCGAATGGATAATGCTTCAGGATTTTGTCAATCTTTTAGAACCTTTTGCCAATGAAACTGATATTCTTCAGATGGATGCACTTTCACTATCCAGTGTTCAATACTTACCTTCAATACTTAACTTAGAATGTCACCTTGAGCAATTTGGAGATGCCAAAGATGTAGCAGTTAAAATGCTTGAAGATCTACGCCGTCGTTTTGCCGTTCTTTTGCAGCCAAACGATCCTAATTTTAATCCTCTGCCATGTGCCGCATGTCTACTTGACCCCACATGTGCAATAGCTCTTTTAGGTAATGAGCATACACAAATCAAAGAGTGTGCAAAGAAATACATTTTGTCAGAAGCTAAAAAATCAGTGCAACATGATTTACCTTTAGCAAGTGCATCTACTCTTTCTGTTGAGATTGCTCCAGAAATAAATGGATTAACAAAATGGAAATTTTTAGTGGCAAAACAGCGAGTAGAAAAAATAAAGCTTATTCCAGGTAATGAAGCACAAAATGAACTCAACAAATATTTTATTGAAATAAGGAACAGCTCTATGTGCCAAAATGCTTTAAATTTCTGGAAGATGAGACGTGCTGTTTACCCACATATTGCACCATTAGCTGAAGACCTCATTGCAGCTCCTGCAACTCAAGCATATGTTGAAAGACTTTTTTCAATCTGTGGCTTGCTCACAAATGGACGGAGAAATCGAATGTCAGCGTCATTGGAAATGCGAATTTTCTTAAAACTAAATTCTCATCTAGTCTAGATGATAATCATATAATCACTAGGCCCTTTATTTGTAAAATATATGAGTAATTATTAAAGTCTATGCAATAACTATTCATTAGTTTTTATTGTTACCAAATTTGAGGAGTTTTTTTTATACCTAATAATTGAATTTTTTTAAGTTTTAGAGCAATAAGGACAGGTTGTTGTTGTGTTTTTTATTAAGGGCGGTGGGCGGGGCTCTAAACTTCTAGCCATGGGACTGGGTGTATTACATTTAATTAAGTTCTCATTTTTTTGTTTGTTTATAGAACTAAGACTTACTTCTTTTAATTATATATGCCTATATTATTTATAAATTATACTAAAATATAATTAGATGAGATAAAAAATTTATACGACAAACGAAAATTGAACTAAATAAAAACTAAAACTAAAATTATTTTAAGATGAACTGAATAAAAACTAGAACTAAATTTATTTACTGAACTGAATAAGAACTAGAACTAAAAACTTTGCCTCTAAACTGAATAAAAACTAAAACTAAAATTATTTTCCGAACAAAAATATCACTGCAAATGAGTATACATAGCATAAGTAAGATGTACATAGTAGTAACACTAAAAAAGTTTGTCAGCTTGGTACTATAATTAAATAATACAATGTTAATGTTTTAAAAGTGTGCTATACAATTGTAAAGAATATAGAATTTGCAATTTTGCAGCTAAAATGTTTTTTATATAATTATTTGATATATGTGTTTTTACATACTTAAATTATTTATAACTTATAACAGGTTCTTACAGTGTAGAGTTTTAGAACCTAAATAGGACTTGCACTATGGTTTGCACCTATTTTGTAAATTTCAAATATTCTGCTTAGTGGTAGTTATCTCCTAAAGTAAATCAGAGTCAATTCTATTAACTCAAGGTAGTCTTTTTGTGGAATTATTTTTTGGAAAGACATTAGTAAATTAATTTGATAGTTAAATTTGCTTGATTAAATCTTTTGGATTTGATATCATTGTCAAATTTTTATCCATAGGAGATAATGGTAGTATGCTATCTGTAGGAGAGCTTTTTTTAACTTAATTTTGATTAAAGATGTTTTGTTTTTTAGTAAGGTGTTGGCTGCTGTTTTGCAGCTTACTCCAGTAATGTTTTTTAAAATGTTTCAGTCTTGCACAATTTTCACAGTCGCCTCACATTGAATTTTTCAGTTAAATCTTTAATTAATGCTAAAACAATATATTTTAGCCTGTTAAAAGTTGAATGTTAATCTTTGTAAACAGCAATAATAAGTTTAACTTAGTATATGTAAATAATAATTATATAAAATAACTATTTATTAAAAATCAACGAAATACATGTTATAAAATTTGCTTACTAACTACTTCAGGTTCTTTACTATGAACTGTGACCAAACAAAAGCTTAAAATCTTGATGCCTTACTATCTTTTTGGATTTTTTAATCTCCCAGTCAACTTTAATTGATAAAATCTCTTAGATAATGTTAAGTTAACAAAGACATAGACATCAGTAAATTGATCTCTGTTTTTGCAGATTAGTGTATTAAAAAGTGGTTGTTAGCAAACTTTCAATTACATCGATCTGCCACACATGTTGTAACTTCTAAGAACTGCTAGTTGATACTTCAAGTAGATTTTTAAAAAGCAGTTTCCATTTTGAAGGAAATTGTGTATTACTTTGAGCTTTTTTATAAGCATTATCAAGTAGTTCTCAAAATCACTCAACTTTTGATCTTCAGTTGACCTTAGCTCAGTTGTTTTTTTTCTAAAAGAATTTTTCTTAAAAATTTTATTTTTGGCATTCTAAACATTTTGTAAAATCAGATCAATGCTATTGGTAAAGTAGTATTTTTTGCTGTTTTTTAATCTTTATAAAATTCCTAGTCCTAGTCTTCTTTCAATATTGATCTTCATGAGGTCAGCAGCTGTTCATTTAAAGAATCACAAAGTTGTTCAAAATTTGACAAAATCATTTGATTTTGTTTTTTTCAAGTTTTATTATTTTGAGTTAATTGTTCAATTTTCTCTATTTTGACATTTGTTTCCATCAATTATGTAACCAATCAAAGAGATGATTGTTATCTGATTGGTCCAGCTTTTTTCCAAACTTTCTTCAATTCTTTAATTCTAATTTTAAAATATCTTTTGCAGATGTATGGCCTATTTTGAATAAAAAGGTAAATGAGAAAAAAAAGATTGTGACTTATTAAATAATAGTACAAAACATTTTAGGAGTTACACATTTGGGTGTTTAATTTTTTAAATGTTATGAAACTCTTTTTTTTTTTAAATCAAGATTTTTGTTTCTAGATCCAAGACATATTATTTACTCAACCAATAAAAATCTTCTTTTTGTCAATTTTTGTGGCTCTTATTAGAAAAAATATTGAAGAAGAAACATGTGAAGTTGAAAAACAAGGTTTTTTATTTAGCTTTATTATCTTTATTATTCATTTATGTATCATTTATGTATCATACAATGAACCAAAAGTTGCACTTTATACTTTATTTTTCAAACTGAAGTGGCACTCTATACTTTACTTTTCATACGTAAGTCTTTTTCCAACTGAAAAATGTTATTATACTTATTTAAAAGCTAACAAAAAAAAAACATTTTTTAGAATTTTTAAAATCCTGTGATATAAAATTTTGAAAATGTTTAATTTTTAAAATTCATTATGTATGTCATTAACCAACCAAAAAGTGACTTTTAGTTTGATTTATGGCACTGTACACTTAGTTAATGGCACTGTACACATAATTTATGTCATTGTACGCATAATTTATGATACTGTATACATAATTTATGTCAATGTACACATAATTTATGTCACTGTACACATAATATTGAAAGTGAGTTATTATGTTTTTGGTTATTGTAAAAAGACACAAATACTATTTTCAGTATCTTAAGGGAATAAAATAAACAGTTTTAAGCAAAGCTGTAGGAATATGATATATTTTCTTCAGGTGAAAATACCACGAGAACTACAATGAACCCTTATCTAAAAACTTTTTACACTTTAAATTTATCACACTTTTTAATATAAGAAAATTGCTAAAATGTAGTAATATCCATAACAAGTAGGAAAATCAAAATATTTGAAAAAAGTATTTATATATATTCTATAAGTACCTCAAATAAGAGTTTGTATATAAATTACAAACTACTGAATAACAGCTAATTTTTTATTTTTTTTAATAGTATTTTTTTATTTTTGAGTTTCTTTTTTTTTTAGTAAATTAAACTTATTGATCAAAAAAAGAACTAAATAGACTTTTACTATAGAACTAAATTTTACTAGAACTATTTATTTATTTTGGAACTTTTTATAGTATAGAACATTTACTTTGTACTTAAATACTTTGTATTTAAATTTTACAATAAATACTTCAACAAAATTAACTCATTTATACCAAACTCCAGATATATATATATATATATATATATATATATATATATATATATATATATATATATATATATATATATACATATATATATACATACATACATATATATATACATACATACATACATACATACATATATATATATATATATATATATATATATATATATATATATATATACATACATATATATATACATACATACATATATATATACATACATATATATATATATATATATATATATATATATATATATATATATATATATTCATATATATATATTCATATATATATATATATATATATATATATATATATATATATATATATATATATATATATATATATATTATATATATATATATATATATATACATATATATATATATATATATATATATATATATATATATATATATATATATATATATATATATATATATATATATATATATATATATATATATATATATATATATATATATATATATATATATATATATATATATATATATATATGTATGTATATATATATAATTTATCATTTTACTTTTTCCCAAATTACTCATCCACCCACAGAGTTTATTTTTAAATAAACAATTTAAATTCTGAATTTATGCTATTTAGCATTTTTCTTTGCTCTCATTATTGCCCAAATATTTTGTTATTTGTTAAGTCATTTTAAATTTATTTTATTTATAAATTTCACTTTTTTAAGATGTCCTTTTATGTTTCCATGTATATGCCCATTAACATTTAAGGTAAGCTGTTAGCTCATGATGAGAGTTGGCTCTACAAATCAAAAGATGAACCAACAATTTTTGAACAAGTAAATATTGAGTTAAAACCTCTTGATTTTTCTTTGGTAATAGAGATGAGAGAGAAAGGCTTTAAGAAAATGAAGATGTGTGCAATAACACAAGAACTATTTTTATATACCACATATGCATTTTTGGTGTTTTTCATCGGCTATATGACACGGGAGAATGTTGCTTTTTACCAAACTCGCAATGTGGAAGAACTATTTAACTTGCGATTGAGGCCAGGTGTATCATACCCAGGTGGTAAAGTTTTCAATAGTGTAAGTTGTTTTACTGAAATTTTTTATTGAAATACTATAAGCTTATAGAACAGATAAGGCTCACATTATATAATATTTAATGAAACTCAACTCAAACAACATAAAAATGATAAATTAAACAGTTGCTTTCTGTATATTTTTATAGGAAGGGTAGTTTTTTAATAATTTTAAAGTTGTATAATTTAAATCATTTTTTTAAAGTAAAAAATGTTTTTCAGACTTTATGTGAGATATACTTTTAGAAATTTCTTCTACGCTGGTTTAATGATGTCTTTTATTACTATCACTAGTTCTTATTTAAATAATTTGCAGTTAACATTTTAGCATTAGAAAGTATCAATAAGTTTTGAATACAATTTATTTTAAAAATAGAAAATTTTGTTAAAGTCATTATGAATGGATATGTATTTAATCTATATGCTTGCAGATAAAATCTGCAAGTGTATAGATTAAAAAAAAAGAACTTTTTTATTTTCCAAATACAAATAACAAATAGTGAAAAACTTAATCTTAAGTAAATACCACGATATAGTATTAACAATGCAAATAATAATAATAATAATGATGATAAATTAACAATTACAGGAGTACTAAGAAAATTATACAATAACAAACCAATATCAACTTTAAAATAACAATTGAATATTATGCACAGACAGAAAAGTTACAAACAGGTATGTACTGACAAAACATAAAAACCTGTCATAAAACAATTGATGCAAAAAAAGTAGCAATATAATATATATAATCTTAAAATCAATAATCATAATAAAAACAATAAAAGTAATATAAATATTTCTTTAAAAAATAAACAAAAAAATAAAATCTTCAACAACACAAACACAAACATTTAGTCACAAAAAGTATAGAGTTTTCATAATAAATATTCAAATAAAAAGAAAAATCATATCATAATACCCAGCAAACACATACCATCCCTCCAAATTAATAAAATTTAAGAATTATTCTTTTTGTCTTTCTTTTTTTTTTCTCGTTTCTTTTCTTTTTTTCTTAAATTTAGTTTTTAATTTTTTGTTTGTTTTTTGCTTTTTTATTTCTTTCTTTTTCTTTTCTTAACTCTATTTTAATTTTTGTTATAATGTGACAATATTGGCAAAGAATATCTTGTCATATCTCAAAAAGTTCACAACTGATTAAACATATATATATATATATATATATATATATATATATATATATATATATATATATATATATATATATATATATATTAAATATATATATATATATATATATATATATATATATATATATATATATATATATATATATATGTATATATATATATATATATATATAGTAAATATATATATAGTATATATATATATATATATATATATATATATATATATATATATATATATATATATATATATATATATATATATATATATATATATATTCATATATATATATATACTATATATATATATATATATATACATATATATATATATATATATATATATATATATATATATATATATATATATATATATATATTTATTTATTTATTTATTTTTATATATATATATACACTACCGTTCATAATTATTGAAATAATATATATATATATATATATATATATATATATATATATATACACACACTACTGTTCATAATTATTCAAATGGCAATAACTTTTTTTTAAATGCTATTTTTTATTTAAATATTTTTTATGTTTATTTTTGCACTATTAGATAATTTAAAAGTATTTTGGTTAAAATGCTTTGATATAAATCATAAGAATAATAAAAATTATAAAGTGGGCAAAACTACATAAAAAAATTACCATCAATGACATCAATGACAATGAAAAAATGACATCAATGCAAAATGATGTGTTGAAGTTTTAAGTCTTTGGTTTTAAAATAATATTGATTGTCTGCAAAAAAAAATTGTTGAATTTATGATAAAATATTTATTATTGACTGTAAAACATGGTGGATGTAGTGTCAAGGTGTTTTGGTCAAAATGCCACAGGTGACTTTGTAAAAATAGAGAGAGTAATGACAAAAGTAGTTTACTTGTAAACTTAAAAAATTATGCTAAACCTTTGAAAAGTTGGGTTAATAAGACGCTATTCATTTTTTCAAAAGAAAATGACTTTAAGCTAAAATCTAAAAAAATATTTTTCAAAAACTAGTTTAATTTGACTGAGTTGATTTGAAAATGATTTATTCTCCCCAATCAAAAGATCTCTCCTATTAAATTTTTATGGGTGGAATTAAAATTAATGTCAAAAAATAACCCCAAATAATACATAAGATGTAGACAAAATTTATTAGTTAGTGGCATAAAATTGACTTCGACAAATTGGATAAGTTGTTTATTAGAATGCTAAGAATATGTATTGCAGTTATTGTCGCTAAGAGTGATTAAAACCTTAGTAACTTAAAACTTAAGTAAGGGTGGTTGCACCACCCTTAGCTTTTGTAAGTGCTGCAACACTAGTCTGCATACTTGCATAGTATTTGGAAATTAACTGTGTAATATCCAGGTTGTGAAACCATACATATTTGTTAGTGGTAGTGACCTTGTTTATTCTGTCTTTTAGATTGTGCCACATCCCTTCAATTGGGTTCATATCAGTACTTGCTGGCCAGGGCATCACCTCCATATTGATGTCAACAAAGTAATCTTGCATGTAAATGCAGTTCCCATCAGGAAACCAGTCTTCTAGTTAAGGAATCAGACAAGTTCTTATAACTTTCTTGTAGTGTTTAGCATTCATCATGCCATCTACAATGTATTGACGCCCAGCTCCTTTGAAAGATATCACGCTCCAAACCATGATTTTAGTAGGATGTTTGACCTTCTGCACCAGACACTGTAGAAGAAATCCTTCTTCTGCTCTGCTTATCACGCTCCAAACCATGATTTTAGTAGGATGTTTGACCTTCTACACCAGACACTGTAGAAGAAATCCTTCTTCTGTTCTTCTTATCGCGCTCCAAACCATGATTTTAGTAGGATGTTTGACCTTCTGCACCAGACACTGTGGAAGAAATCTTTCTCCTGCTCTTCTTTTTACATAGTGACAATTGTTGTCCAATATTTCCAGTGTTGATTCATCAGAAAAACATACCTTAAACACACACATATACATATACAGTGGATTACTCAGACTATTGTTGTAGGCTTACAGTTATTACAATTTATACTATTTTGTAATTTAAATGTAATAAGTAAATTTAATTTGTTTGTCGCTAATCAAATTTAAAAATTATTTTTCTGGGCAGTATGGAAGTAATCAAACATTTAGGCAATTCACCATTTTCCAGTCCTCCACTGTTCACATGGCAAGTTATTTGGCCCATAATAATCTTTTCTTCATCATTGCAGTGATCAATTTCGGTTTCTTTCTTGGTTGATATGCCCTCAAACCAGCTTCAATTAATTTTCTTTGCACAGTCCTGCTACTCATATGTACACCTAAAGTGTTCTTTTCAAGCATTAATCTGTGTGATATTATCTTGCAGTTAGATTTAGCGAGTCTTTCCAAAGCTCAATCATCTTGTTGCGAAGATATCCACTTTCTTCTGCATTTTCTTTATGTTTTGAAGTACTAGTTGAGCCATGTTCTTTTTTATGCTTAAAATGATGCTCTGAGTCAGCCCACATTTTAAAGCTATCCGATATTGAATAAGCTCCAAGAGAACCTTAATATGATCTCTTTTTTTTTCCCATTGCAACTAAAGTAAATAAATAAAACAATTAAACATTGAAATAAATGTTAACTTGGTACATGAAGTTGATGTTCTGATTTCAGGACCTCAAATCAAGTTATTTTTGGTGGGCTGACTGCTTGCAAAATAATCCCTTCCTAATTGCAAATAATTGAAAAAAATAAATATTCATACCTAAGAACATTACCAACGTATTTTTAAAATTTTCAAAGTACAAAATCTAGAATGCAGACACTAAAATCTCCCAGGCATGTCGCAGAAATGATATATAGTATAATACTTATTTACTATAATGCATTGTAATGACAAAAAGTACAAGTAAAGTATAATTTTGATATTTTTCTCAATTATCCTAATAAGTTGGCCAGTACTGTACATATATATATATATATATATATATATATATATATATATATATATATATATATATATATATATATATATATAAGGTCTCACCATAAAACATAGAAGTGAGGTTGGCAAAAAATTGACGGTCTCTAACACTTTCAGGTCGGCAGTTAGGTCTGCATTGCTGAATGCGACCCTAATTCCGAAGGTTATATATATATATATATATATATGTATATATATATATATATATATATATATATATATATATATATATATATATATATATATATATATATATATATATATATATATATATATATATATATATATATATGTATGTATATATATACACATATATATATATTTATATATATTTATATATATATATATACATTTTTGTTTTGGAAAGTTAAGTTTTGGAAAACCTGACATTTACTCTATTTTAAATAAGAAACAAAGAAACAACCTTGATTCATATAATTCAGATAAGCAATTTAAAAAAATCAAACAACAAAACTTAAAATGACACTTGGTTCAAAGGATTTAGCATACTGCTGAATAATGAAAAAGAAAAAAAAAAGAAGCTTGCATTATTTAACATTTATTGAGCGACAAGAGAATCAAACTGAGAAAACTGAGTTTTTGTCATCAGAACAAAATGAGGTCTTTTTCTGTCAGGATTCTGTCAGGATTCAATAGACAAAATTAAATCAAGTACTAGTATTTTAATTTGCAATTAAAATTAATATACAAGGACTATTTAATAGACAAAATTAAATCACGTACTAGTGCTTCAACAGTATTTTAATTTGCAATTAAAATTTGCAAAAGAAGTTGCAATTACAGGTGTTTCTTAAAATATTTTATCTAGAAATATGATACACTTCCTCTCTGACATAGTATTTACTTCTGGAGGGAAGTTTGACAGATTTCTTGCTTTCTGAATCCACCATCAGATGTGCAAAAAAGAAGGCAGTAAGTACAAGTGCAGCTGAATATCGAAAAGATATAATAAAAGTTGCAAGTCAAAGTAAATTTCCATTAATTTTTGTTTCAAAATAAAGTCTTTATAAGAATCAGATCTAATATCTTTATTGATAATTTTTATATTGATAAAAAATAAGCTTTGAGGAAACAAAGTGTATAGAGTAAGTTCATTCTGGATCAAATTTATGTTGCAAATAATCCGGTGGCAGAAAAGGCTTGCTCAGGCTCAATACTTGTTGGGGGGATAGTCTCCAGTGCATTGAACAAAAGTTCAAGATTGGCAGTTCTCTTTCCAGAAGCTATAGGCCAACATTTCTTTTGAAATTCATCAAGATTTTCTGAGCCACACACTTCTTGAATGAGTTCTAAGTTATCTGGATTTGTTGGGAATAGTCTAGACAACAAATCTTTGGCAGTCTTTTGAAGTACAGACTTCAAAGGTATTTTAAAAATATTGGATGAACATTCTGGATTGAAAAGTTATCTGTACAAGCTTACAAGATTGCTCTGCCTTCTCTCTTTAAAATGTCTCAAAATTGCACTCTTCATTGCTATGCAAAGAGTTTAATCTCATTGTTTTAGTATGTTCACAAGAAACTTAAAAATTCCCTCAGCAGTAAGAAGAGTTGCATCCTATCGGCAAAGGGTTTCTCCTGCCAATTTGACTGGTTCCAGAGCAGCAACAATGTCGTATAAAATATTTACTTCATCATCACTGCAAATCAAATGTGGATAAACGTCTTTCAATAGTTTTTTGAGTGAATCTTTAACTTATAGAAACTATTGAATCATTGACAGTAGTCTGTTGCATCATGTTCTGCAGTCAAGGAAAAAACCTCTGTGCTGTTTCTTGATTTGTTCTTGGAGGACATCATTTTTAACTGCAGATTTTTGAATCAACTTGACAATTTTTCGAACTTTTTTGATGACAGATTGCAAGTGCACTTTCACTTTTAGAATAAGAATATTTTCATCCATGGCAGAATTAAGAAAATCCAAATCTAACTTTGGTGTCAGATTTGGATTCGTCACTACTAACTTTATCTTCGTCATTTGTTATTTGCAATGTGTTGCTACTGATTTTTCAAATAGGCTTCTTGTAAAACACTTCTTGAACTGCCAAATGAATTCCATGGGAACATGTTTGATGTTTGAAACCAGTTTTCCAGACTTAACCATCATGGAAGCTCCATCCGTAACTGAGCAGACAATGCTGTTGCTAATGTTAATTTCCGCCACTTTTTCTGTGACAACTATTGCAGCTTTTTCAGCTGGCAGTGGAATCTTAGCTTGACTCGATTTTCTGGCATCCAGAAAATCGAGTCAAGCTAAGATTCCAGTATGTTTGTTTTTGATGAATATTAATATCATGTACCTTCAGTTTTTCAAAGAAGTGTACTCATCCAGTGTAATTGAAGAGCGTTTTCCAATGGTCACTAAAGATTTAAAAGTGTTTTTCAGGTCATTTCTCATGCCAGCTGCAAATTTTTGACTGACTGGATTGCTTGCTTGTGATTTTTTGAAAAATCATAACCTTTTTCACACATGGCAGATCGAATGAAAGAGCTGTTAACAATGGCGTGCAAACTAAATCCTTCCAGTGCTGTAGGTCTTAAAATCATTTCTTCAATTGGTTGCTTTGTGAAAAAGTTGAAATCTTAGGCTTTTTCGATTCTCTTGCAGCTTTTGTTGTCAACTTTTTCTGTGTTTCTTTTTTGATTCCATGTTTTTTGTCTAGGTGATACCACATTTCAGTTGTGGAACTTAAGTATTAACTGGTATTTCCACATATTTTTCCTTTGTTTAAGGTGTAGTGTTTCCAAACGTCTGACATTGTGACCCAAAGCAAATCAAATTGATTGATAAATGCAGCAATAAATATACAAAAAAGTAGTAATGTTTTTCTTAAAATGTTCAGACAAAACTTAACCAACAGAAATAGTTTCCAAACAAAACAAACAGCTTAGTTGATAGGAAAATGATTATTAATGTTTTAATTTATTGATTAAGCTATTTTCAAACCTTTTAAAAGATTTTAAAGCATTTTTGAGTTAACTAACTTCTTTTAACAGCAAAATGTTATTCACAAAAGCAGCAAAGAAAAGAAAATTGGGGATTTCATATGAATTGTTGAATTTATAAAAATCATTTACCGAAATTTACCGGTATATTTTCAGTAAAAGCTCGACCTTAATTGACAGCTAGTTTAGTAAAAGAAATTTGTAGAATGGCAGAATTTATTTCTATATTTTATACTGTGTGGTTTGTGCATTTTTCTTAAGTTTCCTCTGCACCTTTTCAAGATATAAAAGCATACTGGCAGATGTTCCAGTATAATAGTTGGGTAGAATCTTATGATCCATGAGCTAATAATGTACTAAAAGGAATTGAAAAAATATTGAAATCAATGGAAAGACATACATGGTATTTGGATCAAAACTTGATTCCATGTTTTGAAGATAAAGAACTCTGAGATGATGAGAAAGAAAAAGTTGCAAAAGTTCTTTTCTCACAACCTGTTTCCTACACACTATGAGAAGTCTGAAAATTCAATCCTTCTGAAAGATATCTAGACTTCACCCAGAAGAAACCGCCTAGTTTGTCATAGTTGGTTGGTAGGAACTTGTGGTTTATTTTCAGTCAGTTAAACTTGAGTAAAGACGATGATAAACCTTGGCTGAACTATCCTATATCTGTCTGAGGCTTTATCAATCAATTTAAAACTTTCATTGAATTTGTTTGCCGATTATATGTAGTCAACGACTGCTCTGAACAGACAATTAAGCTTGTGTCAGAGTTTGTTAATTCTATTCACAATGAAGAAGACAGTCAAGATATAACGTTGGCTGTTCAGCAAAAAAGGGATCTGTTTAGTTTAAAAAAGTAAAAAAAATGGAGTATGGCGGAGTAAAAAAAAAGGCATTTACAAAACATAATTTAGAGAATATTTATTCAGTTTTTCACCATAAACATGAAGAAAAATTTGTTGATTTATAACTTTGCAAACAATTATTGAAGAAAATTGTTTCTTGATTATTTACTAATTTATCATTGTTGACCTTAGCAATGTTATTATATATTTTTCTTAGCTGAAAATTTACTTTTTTATGTTAATTATCCCAACAACAGATGTTATATTGAATGTAATTTAAAAAAAATTTTTCGCAAGGGACTCTATGAAAAGGTTGATAGTCTTATCATCCATGCCTTCTTTGAGTCCCTTAATGTTTATATTGTATACTATATATTATTTAAGACGAGAAAAAAAAAGGCTACTTGAGATTAAGCAAAGTAAAATTGTTTTATTAAAAAATATTTTGCAGCAATAAAAATCTTATTTTTTTTTTTTTATTTCTTAATTGTTTTATTAAAACGCATATTTTGCAGCGCCTATATGAAAATCTAATAGAGCTATATGTAAAAAGAAAAGGCAAATGGTACACAAACATTCTGAAAACAATAAGTAAAATGTATGAAAGAGTGGGTTGTGGGGCAAGGAGGAAATGAAACTCTGCTGCCCACCTCCTATAGGGGGTCCTTATATTAAAAATTATTTTTAAAATTGAATTTTGGCTCAAATTAATCTTTGTAAACAAGAATTAGATAAATTTTGTCACGGAAAGTTTGAGAGATAAAAAATTAGTCAATTGATATATCCATAAAATTACCTAAAATTAGAACATATGGCCCATTTTTCAGGGTCAAACCAATGCACTTTTTTTAAAATTTTACTTTACAACCAATTTCAAATTAATATTTAGGTCTTATAGATTTCATAGGAAAAAAAGTTGGTGTTTTATTTCAATGTTTAAAAAGCTTTTTGGTTAAAAAAGTGTGGGTTTCGGGGGACAAATTATAAAAGTGGGGATTTTAAAAATGGGTTTCAAAGAAATTTTTTCAGCATAAAACTATTTTTTTCCAACCAGACTAACCCTGGTTTCCGACTAACCCTGGTGTTTGGGTTTTAATTTAAAAGAACTGTTGAAAAATGAACACAAGATTTTTTTCTAATAAATCTGTGATGATTGAGAGAAGTTTGTTTGTATAAAATATTGCATAACTTCTATGTTTAATCATTTTTTTTATTATTTGCAACAGAATTTATTGGTACATATATCTTATATATTAAATAAATACGTATATCTTGACTTATATGAATTATTTTTTGAAGTATTCTTGAACAATAGAGTTGCATTTGATTCTAGCTATTCTCAAAATAGTATTTTTCCATTGAGGTTTGAGAAATCATACCAATATAAGGTGCTATTGTGTATCTACTATCATCAAGTATATCAAGGATAAAGTTTTATAACTAGGAATCTGAATGAAATATACTATAAGAAAAATTGAAAAAGAATTTGCGCTAATGCCATTTGCAAATAAAATTAAAAAAAAAAAATTTATTTTATTTATTTATTGTTTTATTTATTTATTTGGATTCATATTTTGCATTATAGATTCAATCATTGCAAGATTTTTGGCCATGGATGGAGGAATTTTTTCTCCCACAAGTTTACCCCGAACCTTGGTTTAATTTGAGTGATTTCTATGCAAACAATACAGATAAAAAAAATTTTCCTGGAAAACTGTTTTTAAATGATCTAACCTCCAAAGTTGTAAACGGAATTAGAATTCGACAGATTCGTGTACAACCACGTAAGACCACAAACATAATTTCATAAAGTTTTGTAATTTTTGTTTGTTTTTTTTGTTATCATTATCATCTTTATTATTATTGCCATTGTTATCATCTTCATTATCATTTCTTTTTGTCATTGTTGTCATTTTCATTATCATTAAAATTAAAATGGGATACCTAAATACTTTAACAAGAAAGGTATTTGCAACAAAAGAAATAAATTGAAAATACTAACTATACATTATCTGCCTTATATTATACGTGTTTTTGCAATATATATCATGTCCAATGTCAGACCTTTGGAGAATTTATTGATGCTAAATATATTGAGGAATATTGTAACTTTTACAGGTTTAAAAATGAAATATTTGAAGATTTAAAAAAATAAAGATAGTTCAAGCAATTTTTCGGTCAAAATGAGAGCAAACAAAAAAATACTTTACATGCTTCTATTGTGTTATGATGTAGGTCATTGACTATACCATCAACATTATAAACTTTTGGTTAAGTAGTTAAATGATACATTTAAAACAACTGAAGAAATAACGAATGTTGAGGGGGTATGAATTTTATTTTAAAAAAAGCAAGAAAAAAAATAATAACTTGGAAAATACCCCCTCAACATTTGTGCGTTGAATGAATTTTATTTTAAAAAAAAAGCAAGAAAAAGATAAAAAGGTGGTAAAAATCAAAACTAAATTATGAATGTATAAAGAGAAATATTCAGATGATTGACTTGGCAATTTTAGTAGAAAATAAAAATGGTAGATAAAAGAAAACACAATAAGAGAATGAAAAAAAAGATTATACAAGAAACCACGAGTTAAAAAAAAGATCCAAGGATTGTAAATATTGAAGAAGTGGATTTTCAGAAACCATTCAAAATTTTTATGCAGTAGAACACAAGCATTGAAACTAATAAGTTTTATTTGTATTATTAGTAATATATTTAAAATTTTCTGTCATCATCATCTTATTAAATCAATATTAGGAATAATAAGTTGTAATTATAAACTATAATTTAATAAGTTATTAAAATAAAAAAAACAAATTTAATTTTAATTTGTTTGATAGATTCCTGCATTAAAGCTGTATTTATTGCTGATTATGTAAAACAAGATTGCTTATCTCGATATAATCCTGGTGTTGAAGAAACCAGAGATTTTGATTTCGATTGGACACTTCCAAAAAAATATAAATCTCTTATCAACCCATCTACAATGCCATGGAGGTATCAAACATGGCAAGAACTTGATGGTTATCCATATGCAGCAGATTTAGACACATATTATGGGGGAGGTTATGTCATTGAAATTTTTCCTAAATGGAAGAATCAGGCTATATTGGATCAAGCAAAAAACTTTAGGTGGATTGATAGGCAAACTAGAGCTATAATAATTGAGTTTGCTTTGTTTAATGCTGCAACTAGTTATTTCAATATGGTTACAATGGTCTTGGAATTTTCTGCTTCTGGAGGAGCTGTTCCTAATTTCTTTGTACTTACTTTTAAGCTGTATGCTTCAACAAAAGAAACTGGTATTGCTATGTTCGGTTCGCAAATATTGTTTATTTTGATGATGTTAGTGTTTACTGTTCGTGAGTGTCGTTTTCTATATCGAACTGGTTCGAGGTACTTTCTTGAATTTTGGAACTTAGTAGAGGTTGCATTGATTTTAATATCAGTTGCTGCTGTTGGTTTTTTCTTTTATAAAGGTATTATCATTATTTTTTATTGTTTCATTATATGTCATATGTTTGTTTCATTATTTGTTTTTAAAGGTTTTTAAGATTTTATATAAAACTTGTTGTTTAATTTTTGTTTAATAAAGATCATCTAGCCAAGGTGCTGTTGGAACGATTGCCATCTAAGAAACCACAGTCATTTATCAACTTTCAGTTTGCTTCTTACTGGGATCTAATGTATATATACATTGTGTCACTCATTGTTTTTTTTGTAACTTTGAAATTCATTAAAGTTTTGCGGTTTAATCGTCGTGTTTCCATGCTTTCTTCTACATTGAAAGCTGCATGGTATCCTTTATCAATGTTTGGAATTGTTTTTTTTATCATTCTGTGTTCAATTGTATTTTCAACTAGTATTGTGTTCGGTATACAATTTTTTTACAATTTTAATACAATTGAAATAATAAGTCTAAATTGCAATATAACTATTTAATTTTATATATATATATATATATATATATATATATATATATATATATATATATATATATATACATATATATATAACATTTAAAAATAAGACATTTTTTATTTTTAAAGAAAAAATAATAATATGCTATTTTAGATAATATTCCATATAGCTATAGAAAAAATCTTTAACTTACTGTTTGTAGTAAAAAACACCTCTTAACTATTCTATGACATATAGCAAGACAAAAGATTATGTCAAAAAATGTATATATATATATATATATATATATATATATATATATATATATATATATATATATATATATATACATACATATATATATATGTATGTATGTATATACATTAGTTTTATTGAGAAAACTAATTTAATTTATCTTTTTTAAAAACCACAAAAACACAAATTAAAATTAAAAGAATATTTTTAAAAACATACAGAATGTTTTTTTTTTTTTGTTTTTTTGTTTTTGTTTTTTTGAATGATTTAATTTTAATTTTTTTACTGTAAAATAGAGTATTGAGTGTGCAGAGTGTGCAGAGTGTTGCTACATCAACTATCTTATAGCCTACTACTACAAGGAAGTGCTGCTACATCGGCTAAGTGTTTTATCAAATAATAATAAAAAAAACTTTTTAAAGTTTTTAAACTTTTTCTGGGTTTTTTACTAAATTTTTTTTTATAAAAGATATAAACTTTTTATTTTATGGGAAAACTTAAAAATGACCAAGCATAAGTATAAATAATTACATTTACTTTTTACGTTTTTAGTAAAAATATGTCTATACATCATCACCATATATATCAATTTTGGTGGTAAAAAAAATGAAAATATTAACTGCTTAAGGTATTCTGCATAAACATTCTTTGTATAGATATTTTTTTGTTTACTGAACTCTGTACTGGGGCACGCCATATTTTATGAAAATTGAATTTTGCTTTGCATAACTGAAAAAAGAATGAGATTTAACATTAAAACTTCAGAACCAGTAATTAAAAAAAAGTTTTAGCAACCTCAGAATTAAAGACATTGTTTTACCAAAAGCCCGGTGGAAGGAGGGGGGCATGAGGAGGGGTGATAAAAACTTAAAAATTTAAATTTTTTTTTAAACTTCAAAAATTTAAAAAAACCTTTGAACAAAGCATAGCTTGAAGAATAGACTCAGAGAAGGCATACAAAACAGACCGGGTAACAGTTAAAATGACTATACTTTGAAAATTTAGTGACTGGTGTTATCCAACTATGCTTAACTTTGATGTTAAACCAGACACAAAAATAAATTCATACAATATGCTCTACAAGTTTCAGAAGATTTTTGGCTGCATTTTCTTGAAGACTGTGAAAAGATACCTAAATTCTGCAGATTCTTTGGCTGTTGTTAACCATCTGGCTATATTAATAGGGCCAATTTCAAAAATTCCTAGTTGCTGAGGAAAATAAACACTCCATATAGCTTAACTATTTGATAACCATAATACTGATCTGTAGAAAAGTCTTTCATCACATTGTTACTTAAGTTATTAGGAGGCTCACCAATATTCAACTTAGTAAAAAAAGGGTTAATTATAAGATTGGTTGCTTCATCAAGTAAGTAAGTGTGTGCTTATGTTCCTCATTTCAGTATGCTCAATTCTGATTCTTTAGCTTGTGTGTAATGAAAAAAATACTTCCTATCATCAGAACAAACAAGATAATATTCTTCTTTAACTTTAGTATGTTACTATCTGTCTGAGCCATTCACACTTAAAAATACTTTATACAGATATTTTTGTCCATCAAAAAATATGCAGTCTGTTATCTCTTTATCACAGTAATTATCAAACTGATTATTAATTTCATTCATTACTTTATCACTAGCTCTCCTAACTTTACTGTGATAAATTATTGTTCTATTGTTATTTTTGGATACAAGTCTTCCGTCTACCCATAGTACAGTAGCTATAGCTGAAGTTACTCTTAAATCAACACAATATCTAATACTGGCCAATGCAGTATTTGAGATCTTTATAATTTCTTAATTTCTTTTAACATTTTATACCAGAGTTTTAAATAGAAATCTCTATTTCAAAGTTAAACTCTTTAAAATTTTGCTGTTCTCTATTTTGTTTATCTTGAGCATTATTTTTTTCCTGAGTAATGTGTTTCTTTTCTCTCATTTATTTCTCTCCTACTCTTTTTCATTTGCAGCTTTTTACCTTTTTCAATCTTTTTGACTCCATCAAATCAGCAAGCATAAATTGGTATGAGCTAAGAGTTCTAATCTTGTTTTGCTGTTCTAACAAAAAATGTGGCAATAATTTGTTTACCTGTAAAAAAATATTAAAAATGCTTTTATTTTAAACTAATCATTGATAATTAATGAGAAAATAAGTATTATAGTAATTAAACTTGTTAGCCAAAATATTATATGAAATTTCACTTTTATATTATAAATACTTATACTTTTAGAATATCCACTCATACCTTTAATAAAAACCAGTTCATTTTTTTGTATTTTTTTCTTCCGAGGATAGTAACAGGTAATGTGAGCACTATCTTTACAGTCAAGAGGACTGTGCTGTTCAGAACAAAGCAAAATATTGCATTTACAATCCATTAGGTCAAGTAGTTTTTCAATTATGAAATTAAACTTTTTTTTGTAAATTTACTTGCACTATTTTGAGAAATCAGACAAGCCTTATTCCAGGTGTCTTTGAGTCTTATTACTAAACTATACTTTAAACTAGTTACAGGAGGCGCAAACAAAACATTAGCCAATTCTTCTGAAAGTTTATTGTCAATATTCTGGATTAACTCAAAATTGCTGTAGTCAGTTTTGTTTAGTTCACTTGATTCTCTCAGAGAAATACCATATCTTAAGATATTTTTCAGTGTTGGCAGTTCAGCTACTTGTAATTCTTTTCCAAAAATTTATATACCATTAAATATTTATATAGCATTAAAAGCATTTTTTTTTTCTTATTTCAGCAGCCCTTTTATATTTGATAATATTTATTTAGTAATTTTAGTTAGATATGTAACATATATCAATATTAGTTAGACATAATAAATATCAATTTGTGTTTTAAATTTAGTGATAATAAAATCAAAATTGATAAGAAAAATAATAAAAAAAGTACAAAAGTAATTTCTACTATTCTTATACTATTTTTATGAAATAAAAATAAAATAAATTAAATAAATAAATTAAGAAATTAAAAATATGTAGTAGTATAGCTTTAAATACAAAGAATTACACAGAACTAATTAATTATACAGAAAACAATCCTCTATCTCTTTTCATCCATCAAATCTCTCTTTATTTACTAAAAACTATATTTTAACTATATTACATTCATTTACAGAAACTGTTCATTCAAGCTTAAAACATTTTTATTCATCAAGTTTCCTAACAATGTTCAATCAATTTGATTTGTCACAAATTCTTTAGATTTCCTTTCATTCTTAATTGTTCTGCTCCTTTTCTCTCAATTGAGTAGTGGTTTTCTTGTTAGAAATGATTTTGTTTAAAAAAAAAGTATTTTTAAATGTCATGCTTTAAAAGAAAATGTATATTTATTACTCTTTATATTCTAAACATAAATTATTTCAGATGAATATTCATTGTTTTACTTTGAAAAAATTTTTAATTAGAAAAAATTAATAAAATTTTTATCATTAGTGAAGTTTTTTTATTAAAGTATTTGTAATAAATCCCTTTGCTTAATTGATATTGTTTTAAACTCTAGAAAAACTTTCTCTTTTTATAAGTAATTAAAAAAAAATAATAATAATTACTTAGAAAGAACTTATATATACTCACAAGCTCAAAATATTCTGTGTATATTTATAATAAAATTTTAGGTTTGTTGTTGGATGGATATCAGAACCACTTTAAAACAGTCGCATCCATTATTTCATTATTGTTGGGAAAATTTAGTTATAGTCAATTTGAAAATGCTCATTCTTTTCTTGGTCCTATATTTTTTTTTGGTTTCAACGTTATGGTAAATTGGATAATTATGAACATGTTTGTATCTATTCTAAATGATGTTTTTGGTCAAGTTCGTAAAAACCTTAAATACCAGAATAATGATTATGAGATGGTTGATTTTATAATGGCGTTTTTTAAAGGTTTTTCATTTATTTTTTATTGCACTTTTTAAGTTTATTATATTTATATTTAGTATTTAATAATTTTAATTATGTGCTATCATTATTTTTTATTTTGTTATTTTTTCTCCCTCTTGTATGTATTATATAACTCCCTGAGGTCATTACTTTGGGGAGATCACTACTTTTAAGCTTTTTTATATTCTTTTCAATTATTATTGCAACCCTCTATATTTTGGAGTTAAGTGGTTGAGAACTACTTAACTCCAAAATATAAGCCTTGATAAAACAAGGCTGGTGAGCAGAGAAGCAAGTTGCTATACTAATAGGGGCGTAGGGAAAACATACCTATCTTAAAAAAAAATTAAAAAAAATTAATTTATCTTGAATTTTATCTGACCAAAATAAAAAATTATTAATCTTGTAAATGATTAGATAGAACTATTATTTAAAAATTAAATTAAATTCATGAAAGAACAAAAACACGTCTCAAAAATCATATAAAGACAGGATAATCTCGATTAACCTGTTTGATGGAGTATCATCTGGGATTTTTATGATGATAATGCATTGTTTTCGTTGTTGCAACATGATTTTTAAAAAAAGACAATTCAACTCAGTTTGTTGTAGAAGTTTAAATATTTCAAAATTGTTTTTGTACAAAACTAATTTTTCTTATTTTTTGTTTTACTTTTAAATAATTTGTTACTTTTAAATAATTTGTTTGCTAACCTTTAGATTGGCTTGGATGGTATTTTTCAAAGGAGGAAAAAGTCATCTTAACAAAAGATATTGAGGTTATTGAAAACAATAATTTTCTGTCAGTTTCTTCTATAATTAAGTCAAAGTTGAACATGAAACAGATTGACACTAAATTCAATAAAGGTAACAGTTGGCTTATTTTTTTTATTTATTTATTTTTTGAGAACAAAGCGTGTGTAATACAATAACACATACACACATAAATACATGCATACATACATACATACATACATACATACATACATACATACATACATACATACATACATACATACATACATACATACATACATACATACATACATACATACATACAAACATATATACATACATACATACATACATACATACATACATACATACATACATACATACATACATACATACATACATACATACATACATACATACATACATACATACATACATACATACATACATACATACAAACATACATACATACATACATACATACATACATACATACATACATACATACATACATACATACATACATACATACATACATACATACATACATACATACATACATACATACATACATACATACATACAAACATACATACATACATACATACATACATACATACATACATACATACATACATACATACATACATACATACATACATACATACATACATACATACATACATACATACATACATACATACATGCATACATGCATACATATAAAAAATTTAAAAGTAAACTACTAATATTTATTATTCCTATAATAGTTTCCTATTATTCCTATAATGAGTTGCAACAATCTTAATGAGTATTTAATGGATTATCATTCACTACTGACTTCTCAGGGAAACTGTATGTCCAATGTTATATCTGATTTTCATGAGTTACTCTAGATTTTATTTTTTGTCTTAATCTCTTATTCGTCCTTCTATGGAATAGTGTTATTATTTATGGGTTTATCTAATGAGACCTCTTATCTTTCAGACAAGGTTAAATAATATTTGAGGAATGTTGTTGGAACCGTTTTAAGTTTGAGCCTTCATCTCATAAGGTTATGTCACTTTCTCTTTTCTACATATATAATCATGGTGGCTGTTAAAGCAAGGTAACATCACTTGTGCTATTGAACAAAACTTAATCTTGAGTGATTCGTTATTCAGCTAAGTTGCATCTTTTTGTAATTTTTCCATCATACTCTTTTACTTCCATCATGTTCTTTTACTTCCATCATGCTCTTTTACTTCCATCATGCTCTTTTACTTTTATTCATCTATTTCTTTTCCTTGACTTTTGGGGTTTTCAAATTCTCTCCTGTCCATGTTTTTCTGACTCATACTGTTGTTTTTTAAGTTTTCAGCCAACTGCTTTCTTATTCTTATTTTTTGTTTCTTTCTTAACTCCATAAACTACGTCACGCAGTTTTTGAGAATTTTTGACTCCCTCCCGCTCCACCTCCCTCCTCTTAACGCATCCATAATACTTTTTTGACCCCCCCCCCCCAATATTATGCAACAATTTTGTACCCCCCCCCCCCTCTCCCTCCTTCCTAAAAAAAATTTTTAATTTTTTTTTTAGGGGCGTAACGAATTTTAAAAAACACAAAACGATTTTTAATATAATAGTCTATAATCCTCTAAGCTTCTTTGCGTTAATTAATTAGTACTTTTTGCACTGTTTAATGTTTTTTTTTCATCTTAATAGTTTCGTTTAAAATTGTATTAATTAACATCGCTAAACATGATACCAATTTTAAAACCATATTCTTCCGATATGTAATACATGTAAAATATTATATATATATATCATATATAATACACAATATTATATTATACATGCAAAAATATTATTTTATAAATACGATTTTTTTCTACATTGCAACGTTAATGTGGACGAGTAGCTTCCGCTTTAGGCTAGTAAACCAAGGGTTCCGGGTTCCCCTCTCGGTATACAAATTAATATTGCTATTTTTTTTTTTTAAATTAGTGAAGAAAGATTGTTTTTTTGCTTGCTGCACAATTTTTTGCACCAACTAAATAAAGTTCTGCACTTGGACCATATAAAGTCAAAGCAAAGAACGTGCACTGCAAAAGAATGTTACAGCCGTAACAGTCCGTTAACAGGATGCAACTACTCCGTTAACAGATGTACGCATCGACTAAGTAAGATTTAGGCGTAGTTGATTTTACAATTAACATGTTGATACATCAACTGAGGGTTTTGGTTTGGTCAAATAAACTGAAAAAAAAAAAAATGTTGCGTCACAAAATCGAGACCCTCTACCCCTCGTAACAAATCGTCACAAAATCGCCTACCCCCTTCCCACTATAGCGTGACGTAATTTATGGACGACCCCAAACTTGTATTTTATTTTTGTTTATTTTATTAGATTTTAATTTCGGAAATAAAAAATTACGTTTTTAGAAATAAAATTAAAGAAACTTACGTTTTTGCATCAAAAGTGTTGCTTTTCATTGCAGGTAACTAGAATCGAGTTTGGCTGACAAAACAAAAAATAAATTTCAATAGGTATTCAGTCATTTTGGTTATAACAACTTGTCTATGTCTTCCAAAAACTATCAATTATTAATATTTGTCCAAAATTAATGCTTATCCAAATCAATTCTCAATTTATATCAATTTTAAGTCTGAAGATGTCATGTGACTTTAAAATAAGAAAAGGTTTACAGACAATAGCTAGATAATACTTTTCAAATTGTTGAGTGAAGAGTATTCATTTTTTTGAGCAAGATAATTCTTAATTAGTCATTCCATTTACCTGCGCATTCTCAAATAAGTTACCGAGTACATCTTTAAAATTTAATAAACAACTCCATACATTAGTCCATACTTCATTGTCGCAATTGTTGATAATAAAAAACAGTATATAAATGGTTTTAACTATATACCTTAGAGATACTAAAAAAGCTCAGAAATTTTAGAAAACTCGTTTCCTAAAATTGAATTACTTGGTGTACAAAAATATGACAATGTGTTATCAAACGCTAAATCTTTTTAAAACAAGATATCATATTTTAGTTTGTGCCGCCAAATCTTGAATTGCATACTATAATTTACTCTTCACTATTAAAGAACAATGATGCATAATTACACAAAGAATAAACTATAATCTACATACACCCAGCTAACACAAAATGTTCAAGAACGTTCAACAAACGTTGCGAACGTTCAAGAACGTTCTATGAACGGTTTTCTATCGTGCTCGAACGTTCGCAACGTTCTCCGAACATACTTGAACCTTTTGTATCAGCTGGGTAAAAGCTTATTCTTTGTGTAATGCATTATTGTTCTTTAATAGTAAAGGCTTAACTATCAGTGCTATTTAAAAAGATTTGGCACCAAATTAAACTGATGATATGCTTAATATAGGCTTCCCAAATCACTGGCACATATATATATATATATATATATATATATATATATATATATATATATATATATATATATATATATATATATATATATATATATATATATATATATATATATATATATATGTATGTATGTATGTATGTATATATGTATTAAAATAATATATTATTTTTTTCAAATAAAAAGTTTATTTCAATAAATATTTTCTCACGTTTAATGTTAAATAAATTTAGTAAAAAAAGAAATGTACTACGATGTCGATTCGAAAAAAACTATTCTTGAGGAGAAATTTTCCAAATACAATTACTTGTTAAACGAAGATGAACCTGATGGTGAAATAGACGTAACGTTGAATAGGTTTGTTAATTGTATGAACGTCCTCTATTTTGATGACGAAACATTGGTTAATAAAATGAATGAATTTGTAAAAATGGAAATGGAAAAGTAGCGAATAAACGAAATGAGTAATGTGGACAAATCTATCAAAGATACTTTATTTGTTGGAAATCGGGCTTTAGTTTTATCAAGGAAATGCGTTTTAATCTTATTTCGAATCATTTTTGTAATCATTTATCATTTAATCATTTATCAACTCTTTTATTATCAAAACTCTTGTTATACGTTTTATAATTAAAAAAAAAAATTGTGGTTTTCACAATTATATTGGCTAATTAATTAATTATGTTAATTATATTAGTTTCTAATTATTCTGATAATTAAACTTTATTCGTGTTTTTTAAAGTAATGCTAAATTTATTCATTAATCACGGCTGTTTCACTCAATATAAAACCGAGCCTGACGTCACAAGAATTTTTGTGTTTTTTTTTTTTTTTTTTTTTAATATTTCCGCATAAAAAGTATAAAAATTCACTAACTTTAAAATAATATATATTTTTTTTCTATATACGCTTTCATCTTCAAATTAAAAAAATATAAAAGAACTATCTTTCTTCGTTTAATAAATATTTACATTAGACGAAATAATAATAAACATTGTTAAAATATTTTAAATGATTTGGGATCACTTTTGTGTTTTTGGCGATTTTTACGAAAAACCTGTCTTAGGCCAACCAAAATTTGATAACATAGCTACATGGTTCATGGTTGAAATTTGGAACATTTATCCATGAATGTCTATTCTATCTGATTTTTGGTGATCGTAAATAATTTTTTTAGCAAAAATTAGTTTTTAATGCATTTATATATTTTTTTTTTTAAACTTTTATATGTAAAATATAATTTTTTTGTAACAATCACCAAATTAACAAATTTTCAATGCTTTATGCACACGAAAATCCAAAAATTGTTATTTATACCTCTAGCTATGTTACCAAATATGTCTTCAAACTTGGCTGGTTTACAACATTTTGCCTATTTTTATGCGTATATTTTTGTTAACATTTTAAAACAATCACGTGACTTTTAATATTATACGAGTAAAAAAGTAGCGATTTGCTTTACTGACAAAAATATTGCCTGTCTCAGTTAAGAATCAAGTTTAAAGAATTTTCTTTTTAAGTTAAAGTAGTCTTACAATGTGTATATTTAATAATAATTATCTAAAATATACTTTTAAACTTTTTTTTGATAAAAAGTGACAACAAATTACTGAATTTAGCCAAGCTCATCATTTGGCGCGTTTTATCTAAAATCGAAGAAAGTTTCCAATCATTTACTTAATGTCATATGATAAAACATCTTATTGGTGTTTATATTCTTTTTACAGAACAAAATTATCTCTAATATTTAAACAATTTTTTACTTACTAGTTTTACTAACACCTATTAAGTAGTTATTTTTTTTAAAAAAACAAGAAGCCGTAAAGCTCACTTTGAAACAGGCATGTAGTTATTATAATAACTATAATAATTAATGAATAAATATCAGTTTAAAAGATATGGAAATTTCTTTGTAAAAAATGTTACTGCTTGCATCATAATTATTTAATAATCAAAGTGTGAGCCAAGAAACTATATTTCATAAATTATGCATACTTTATTTTAGGCCTAGCAATAACGGAATCGAATAAAAAAGCTGGATGCGAGTTTAAAGCTTATTTTTTTGCGCTTATTTTTAAAAATTAAATATCGTAAACAAATTCAAGGCTTCAGAACTTTTGGATGTAAAATGATTTTGAGGCGGAACTTTTGCCTAATAAAAAACCATTATCACGCTTCATTTTAACTTAACGAGCAATTTAAATATAAATTAAGAGCAAATATTAAAAGTCTGACATCAATTTGCCTTTCACATGATTTATTGCCAAACTTTTGATTATTTAATTAATTTAGTTTATACTAGGTTGCGCTCTTGGAACGCGAAGCCTATATCTTTAGAATGACATAGCAACTGAACTTAAAATTTTGAAAACTTTCATAGTAACCTAATTTAAATCATATTTAGCTGTTTATGTTAAGCATTTATGATTTTTTTACGGCTAGAAAGTCACAGATTGAACACTTTTTATAAAAATTGTGAACAATTTTACAAAAAAGTAGTAGGTGACCTTTAGACCGCTCAAAGTGTTAAAAATAAAACTTGTGCCTATATTATATGCAAATGAACTTTTCCTTGGTAGGTCAGCAATCGCTTAGGATTTCAATTTTTTTCTCGCTCTCATTGTATTCGGTGTCACTAAAAAACTAAAAGGCTTTTTCACATAAGATTTATTTAAACCTGATTCTATTTACTTAAACAAAATTCTCAACAGAGTTGAGAATACTGCCATAGCATCACCATGCGGAAATACAAAATCTTTTGCTCATATTTTCTCAATAAATTTTTTATTGTATTCAGTTTTTTCTATTATTTTTGAACATAACAATGGGAATAAAGATAACAATTAAAATATGTGTTCAAAAAGTTTAAATTTAGTTATAACATCGAAGTTTAAAACAGATTCAAACAAGTTCAACTGCATTGAAGTTCTTCGGGACTATGCTCGTAACCTTTTGTTACGTAAACAAAAGGAAAACGACATCAAGACTGTACTTAAACGCTTAATCTTTATACATTGACGCAAATAGATACGTTTATAATAAAAGTTCGCCAGAAAAAATTAAAAATGGCGCAACAAAACGGCAAACAACTTTTTTATAAACTTCATATTAAATGAATCGAGTACTACAAGAATGAATGAAATTATAATATACAGCTAATGTAAAACTTTAAACTTTAGTTATTTAAAAAACAATTTTTTTGATTTGTTAAAAATTGTTTTAGTTGTCTTTTTTATCAAATGTCGTGTTATGACTTGAAGCAAGAAAAGAAGCATAAACTAACATATGCTTTTAAAATCAAGTGGTTCTATTTAATTACCGAGTTTTAATAAACCTTTTGCTGAATAATTTCAATAACTAATGGTTAAAACTTTGCAGCATATCCCTAGAATAAATCATTTTTTGATGTTTTAATAAAAATCATTTAAGTGAATTTTGTTGTTTTTTGTCCAGTGACAAAAAACTTGTTTTTTTTAATTGTCGGTTACAAGCATACTCCCGAGACGACTTGAAATTACTTTGATGTTTCAGCTTGATGAACTTCCATCTCTTGTATACTTCCATGGTTATAATCAATAAAATTGCTTCAAAGTGATTTTTCAAAAACTTATGTTAGAGGGTGTTGTCGACAAGACCGTGATTAGAAAACTGTAAGATCCTTTCAATCACGCGTTAATGTTGGAAATGGTGTCGTAAAGTATAATATGAAAAGTCAAAAAGTTTAGGCGAAAGCAGTTAAGTACGAAATAAATTATAGTGGTTTAAATTCATGTTGCGTCTTCAAGACGCGTCATGAATTTAAACCACTATAATTTTTTAACTAAAAAAGTCTGTTGCTTGTATTACTTCGTCTAAAAAAAAGAATTTGAAAGTGTATACAGACTGTACATTTTCGATTGTTCTTTTTTACATATGTACGCTATATATGTTATATTTATTATAACTATGGAAGTATACGCATGCGTATCTTCAAATATAATCTCTCTAGCCTGATGAAGATACAAATGGATATTCGATGTTTAGTGTTTTATTCCAAGTTCTTCATTCATCACCAAACGAAGGATTCTATCTAATACATGGTGCTGACAACTGGTAAACTGAGGTTTGTTGATGCGTTTCTCTGTGAACATTTGTTGCAATATTACAACAATACTTTTTCCAGTGTTAACGCTGGCGGTATCTGCAACAATCATCTGTATTGAATTTCATAGATGAAATTCATCAAGGACTTTAAAAATTCCTTGAGCAATAGTTAAGTCCTGCCATCTAGCAAGCCAAGGACAACCAATTTGCTTTCTCTTCTTTCATTTTTAAGGCCGATCACTTAATAATCCATTCTGTCGATGTGCTTGCCAATAAAGTGTAAGGACTTTCCTTATGCAAACTTTCCATATGCAAATTTTCAATCATTTCTTTCTTCAGCTGGATGCCTTTACGAACCAATTTCTTGTATATGTTTGCAGCTTTGTTTGTTAATACTATTGTGGAGGTCACTAAGTTAACTGTAATTTTGCTTTTATGATATTTTCTACTTGGTGTAATCTTCTTCTTCATTGTTTTCATATTCACGGTTGTCAGCCTCAGTCAGAATCACTAAAACCAGGATAGTAAGATGATGAGTTGGATGACTCATTAAAAAGTTTTAGAGGGATGAATTGTTTCTTTACTGGCCACTTGACCTATAGAGTATCCCGCTGTTCCTATGCTTTCAACTTGGAGATGGTACAATCGCTTGTCCTCGAAAGATAATCATGTTTTATCGACTTTATTAATATCAAAAATTTCATCAAGGGGTTCGTAGCTTCCCCGCTTGACATATTCATCATAGTATTTCATTATTTTATCAAGCTCTGCTCTTATAACTTGATCAGATCCATGAGGAAAATTCAGTTTAATCTTCCACAATTTGGTGAAATTCTCGCTATTCGCTCCTTTCTTCCTTTGATTTTTGGTCCAAGGAAATGGTAGTGTTCGATAATTTGCTTTTGGAGAGGCATTCTGCACTTTTCTTCCAGTGAATATTCTTCTATAGGGACCATTCTTCTTCTTTTATGAGAGTCTTCAAATTTTACCAGATTATTGGTCCAGACATCTCTGATATAGTCTATATATAGTCTAATTATATATAGTCTAAAATGTTCTAGAATATTCCAAAATGTTCAAAATTGTTCTAGAATGTTCCAAAACATCTTAAATTATTTTAGAATGTTCTAAATTGTTCCAGAATGTTTTAAATTGTTCTAGAATGCTCTAAAGTCTTCTAAAACATTCTGTTATTTTTCAAAATGTTTTAAAGTTCTAAACACTTCTAATACAAGTTTTAAATGATTTGCAGGAAACACTAGTCGACTATCTTACCGACAACTTATGAGTCTTATAGGATCGCATATAATCTTATACTATCCTACAGGATGTCTTACAGGATTTGTAAGATTTTATTTGTCTTTCAAATCCTATAGGACCATAAGAAATCCTGTGATTACCCATAGGGTATCTTAAAGGATTCGTAAGATTTTATTTGTCTTGCAAATCCTATAAGATCATAAGAAATCCTTGATTATCCTGTAGGGTATCTTAAAGGATTCGTAAGATTTTCCATTTTTTTAATTTATTTTAAAAAATGAAAAACTTATCGGTGGTGGGTTTCGAAACACGGATCACTAGACCATTA